GGCCTTCCGTTACACAAACCTTCGGCCCGGAGGGGTTGGCTTTTTTTTTTTTTTTTTTTTTTTTTTTTTTAGGCTGGAAAGATGGAGGACTTGTAGCTTTGTGCCAGGTAACACCTTTAAAACATTTGAGCAACTGAAAATGGATTATAATCTTGAACAGAGATTTATTTAAATATTTTCAGGTAAGACATTTCTACAATACCGAAATGAAAAAAGGTGTTCCTCCAGAAAGTAACATTGTACAAATTCTTATACTCTCATGTAAAACAGTTTCCAAACTATATAAGGAGTTGCAGAAACATAATGGAAATAACACCTTGAATATTAAGTCAAAATGGGAAAGTAATTGGGAGTAAAAATTACAGAGGGTGATTGGCTTTCAATGTGTGTGACACAACAAACATCTACCAGTTCTAAAAGATGAAAGGAATTCGGATGGAAGTGCTTAATTAGATACTTTATTACACCTCACATTATTAGTAGACGTAGAGGAGAAGAACAGCAATGTTGGAGACTATGTGGCCATCAGAATGTGAATACTCTCGTATTTTGGTCCTGCCCAAAGTTGGCACCTTACTGGGATGGAATCTGTCAGACTACCGGGATAATTTTGGGGGTATGTCATCCCCAAAGACCCAAGAATTTTTCTGCTGGGGCTGATATCTGGAGAAGTGTTTCAAAAAGAAGATGAGTATCTTTTTAAAATTATATCAATTGCAAGAAAAAAGCTATTACACTGTCTTGGCTAAAGAAACTTCCTCCCCAGCTGGACCATTGGCGGGAAGTCTTGGAGGAGATTCACTCTATGGAAAAACTAACATCTTTTACATATAAAAGGACATTCTTACAACAAACGCTGGTCTAAATGGCTGGCATACAAGAACAAGGAAGCTTAACTATGTGTAACATTTTGTAATGTTTTCTTTTTCTCCAACTATGAATCAGTGCGCCTAGTTCTGTGCATGTTTCATTGTAATAATGAAAAATGTTAGAGTATAAAAAAAAAAGCTGGGCTTTTTGTCATGTTTTATACATTAGTCTACATCTAAATTAGTCGATATAATTACTCAAATTAACGATTCTTAATAAATAATACCTTTTGAAAACCTGTTTGCATTTAGTTTAAGCAGTTTAAGTTGACAACTTGCAGCAGGAGCGAATGAATGCATGCAGATATGTTTTCTGTCCCTTCAGAAAAGAGGACAGATGGCAACGGAAGAGTTTACTTTGTCCATCACCAGACCCGCTCAACTCAGTGGGAGGACCCTCGAACGCAGGGGTGAGAGAGGGAATTCAGCCCCATCTTTTTGGTTTTGTTTTCCTGAAAACATCTTTAAACAATTCTCATTTTCAGATTACTGAACGAGAAGCCGCTTCCTGAAGGCTGGGAGATGAGATTCACCGTGGATGGCATTCCTTATTTTGTAGACCACAACAGGAGAACGACCACCTACATTGACCCTCGCACGGGGAAATCCTCTCTGTATGTTTTCCTCCTCATTACTTTCCATTCCGACCTAAAAATGTAAGCCTTCCTATTCATGAAGGGCACAACCCTAGCTAAAGAAAAATACCAAAATATTGAAGAGGAAATGTTTCATATTGCCCTGTGGAAGCGGTCAGACCGGTTCATTGCATGTAGATGCACACTTTACACGCATTCCATGTTATCTTTTTTACATCCGGAAATTTTGAGCATGAGTCCAATGCTGGAAGGCAAAAAGACAATTCTTTAATATGCTAGCTGCTCTACCGCTGTACAACAATTCTGCTACCTACATCTCCAGGTTTTATTTAGTTATTAATTAATGCAGCGGAAAAAAAATAATGCTGAAAAAAGGTTGACATTTAAGATTTGGCACGTTGTGTTGACGGCTAAAACCAATAGTAATTGTCATTCAAATCCACACAAATTTGCTCTGATAAAAACAAACTAAAAAAATTAACAAGGAATTTATAGGTTATTGAATTTTGCAGGTCACCAGAAACATTGAGTTTTGTCACTACGCAGCACAAAATGGACCACAATTACTTCTATTTTATGTTTATTTAAAGTGATAACTATAAACTGTATAATTGCCCATCTCTACTCCTGTCTTTTTCTTTCTGTTTTCTCTTACATTGACATTCATGAGCTAGAAGCAGGTGTATTTATGACTGTTGTGTGTTTCATGTTGTGGCCAAACAGGTTTGGTAAAACCACAGAATGATTAAACGAGCTGACATGAACTGCTAACATCCTGACCCAGAAACCTGAGCAGGTTGCCCCTACCTAATGACTCCTGCTCTAAACAGTTTTAAATAAGAATCTCTATTATTCTGCAGTGCCAACAGCAAGCACTTACACACCACTCAAAGTTATTCTGATAGAACTATTTTTGTTTAATACACACTGACATGTGATATATTATTATTATTATTATTATTGTCCATAGTGAAAATGGACCACGGATCACTTATGTTCGAGACTTCAAAGCCAAAGTTCAGTATTTCAAATTCTGGTGCCAGGTAAGAGTCAGACTGACGCCATGTTTTCTTTACTGGTATTTACTGTAAATACACTGGGAAGTACTTCTGTGTGGAATATTACCAAATGATGAGGGTAATATTATCAGCAACTTTGTCATTAAGTTGCTGCAGTGTTGAGATTGGGGTGAGTAGATTTCATCCCACTAATATGGATCTGTAATCTATAAATAAGATGCAGTGTGAAGTAGGGCTGTATAATTAAATCAATTCTACAATATGCATAGATATTTTTCCCCCTCGGAAGGTTTCAATTTTTCATCCGTGAGTATCGATCCATTAAACTATAGGGGTCCATAGACTTATATGCGTCTTTTTTACCTCTCTGATTTGTGATGGCGTAGCAGCTAGTCTTCGCCTCTGCCAGTCTCACTTTCAACTTGTGCTTTAAGAGCACATTTTAAACTATACACCAGTTTTCAAATTGTTAATAGACCAAGTAAAAGGGGAGTTATGCTAAAATAAGTAAACCATTTTTCCGAATGTCAGAGAAATGTCAAAAACTGGCTTTTCCGGTTATGTGAAAGGGAATGAGCTTCCAAACGTAAAAATGAAACGCAACATTAGATTCCTTTGTTTTTAGAAATCTTAAATCTTTAACAAATAACGATGGGCTGTATCTTGTTGCTAAGAAACAAAATCTTCCGTTTCCGCGGAAACAGAGTAGCAGCGCAAACGGAGTAGCAGCAAAAGCGGTGAGATTGTGAAATTAATGCAAAGTTTGGATATTGGACCGATCGGTGGCATCCACTTCGTAATTTGTTTTTAGCTTAGTGGTTTCTGTTCTGTATATAAAGGACTACCTGAAGAATGAATGTGCAGATGGTAGCGGCGCTGTGTTTTGAGCTAGAAGACGAAGAGGGGAAATCCGCAGCCGGAGTCTGCGGCGCAGTGAGGATTGCCATGATGACGATGGCTGATCAATCATTCTTATTAGTAACTGACAAAGAGTATCAGAGACTGGGAGAATGATTAGATCCTGGCAGTTTTGGAGACATCTACTCAGAGATCCAAGCAGGGGAATGGCGGTGCTGCTCAGCTGCAAGGAGTCGATCACTACGGGGGGAGGCAGAGCCACTCCCCCAGCAGCTAGTAGTAAACAGCTTACAGCCACGGCTAACTCCGGGAGCTAAGGTAGAAAAGCCTTTTTTCCATAGTCCTAAAGACTATTTTACCCCCCTTCCCCAATCAGAGCCAGGTATTGTGTAGTTAATCCTTTAAACCGGTTTTCAGTTAATTAAATCCAACTAAAAACTGTTGTGTTCCAAGTCTATGGAACACAAAACGTCAACAAAATCACTCTGTCCCTCTAAAATCTTTCAGAAAATCATAAGTGTATTGAAGCGCATCAATCGAAGAATATCGTGATCGTATCGTGAGCAGAATATCGTGTATCGTATCATGACATTATTGTATCACTACACCCTAGTCTGAAGTTATTAAAACAATGATCTGTAAATAAGATCTACATTTACAGATCATACTTTTCAGAATTAGAAAAATCTTCTTTTTTATTTTTTTCCAGCAACTGTCTTTGCCTCAACATGTTAAAATCACAGTAACGAGGAAAAACCTCTTTGAGGATTCTTTCCAGCAGGTATGTTTGCAATGAATTCAATCAGACAAACTGTTCAAGTGGAATTAAACAGAGCTGCTGTTCTGCTGAAATAACCTTTAATTACCAGTCATTTAAAAAAAAAAAAGATCATTGAACAAGCCATTGTGAATTGTAATTATTTATATTTTGTCTATTTTAGATAATGAGCATTAACCCTCAGGATTTGAGAAGGAGGCTTTGGATCATCTTCCCAGGAGAGGAAGGCCTTGACTACGGAGGCGTTGCCAGGTAAGTTAAGGAGACTGAGAACTTAATTCTTGCCACACCTTTCTCGCCAACTCCATGTTGTCATCTCAGAAGCTTTAAGAAGCGCATAAGTTTGACTTTTTGTTTCATCTCTCTGATTTTCTCCAGTGATTGGACTGTGTCTTAACAAAAGTCCTTGTTGGACTTGTCCCTCTCTGTCCTTTCCTGTAGGGAGTGGTTCTTCTTGTTGTCTCATGAGGTTTTGAACCCCATGTATTGCCTGTTTGAATACGCTGGTAAAGATAACTATGGTCTCCAAATCAACCCTGCTTCAGACATCAACCCCGACCACCTCAAGTATTTCAGGTTCATTGGACGATTCATTGCAATGGTTAGTTTTTTTTCATCATTGCATTAAAAAAAACTTCAAGAATAGTTGTAGAGGTCTGTTGAAAAAAAAAGGATTAATATTCAATTGTTTTTATCCCTCAGGCTCTTTTCCACGGCAAGTTCATCGACACTGGTTTCTCTCTGCCATTTTACAAACGGATGCTCAACAAACCTTTGACACTCAACGATCTGGAGTCAATAGATCCTGAGTTTTATAACTCCCTCATGTGGATTAAGTGAGTGTGATCATATCATTTTAGCTCTTAAGATTAATAAAACAAATTAAATACAAGTCAGCACTTTAAGTTGTCTAAATGTCTGTTTTATTCAACTTAAAGTCAGATATATTTGTGGTTGTATTGGAAAAGCAGCTAAGATATGAAATAATTTTTGTTTGAACTCAGAAATGGTTTTTGATTGAATCATTCAATAATAACATGAGACTCTCCTAAAAGAAGTTGGAAATCTTTGACTTTTTAAACTTGGAAATTTCCACTTTTCTCCAGAAATTTTCTGTGATTGATGTCAAACTTTGATTTGTTTTTTTTTTTCTAGCAAATTTTCAGCTTTTCAAACTCAAAAATTTCTGAGATCTAAAAAGTCGTCTTTTGTGGCAGAAATGTACTACTTTTTTCTGTATCTACAACGGCCTTAATGCACCATCTTAGTCTACACCAGACATGTCCAAAGTCCGGCCCGGGGACCAAATGCGGCCCGTGGTCAAATTTCATTCGGCCCGCAGCCTCTGTCATCAAATCAATAACGTCTGGCCCGCACGTAGAATTAATACATTGGGCAGCAGTACCGTTACCTGCATAGGGCGTATCTTACACACTAAATGCTGTTCCTCATTTACCCACTAGAGGGTAGCAGCCCGTGTGACTCAGACCATTTGCAGCTGGAGCTCACTGAGCTGCAGTGTGACGCAAGAGCCGCGGTCGGCACCACCAGCTTTCTCTCGCGAACTTTTACCGACAGCTGGATAAGCACAGGTTTCGAGAGATTTGGTTTGGTAAGAAAATGCTAAGCTTGTTTGGGTCGACGTTAGGGTTGCCACCTGTCAGAAATCAAAATAAGGGACGCGTCATCCTAGTCTCATGGGGGGCGGGGGAGCGGGACTGCTGCGGCAGCCGTCGGGGTTGGTCTGTGTTACCCAGAAAGCAGTTGGGCGCAATATCGTAACACCGTGAGTGAAACAATGACTGGGGCAGCCTTCTATATAATCTACCTGGGGACCACTTCTTTATTATTACATATACACATTTGTAGAATACGGAACAAATCGCGTACCGTTTCGGTTCAATACATTACGCCACATTTAACAGTCAAATACGGGACGGGTTGCAACCCTTCTCGACGTATTTGTGTGAGAAGACATTCTCAGTTGTGAACTTAAATAACGGACTCTCATTACGAGACATCTTGCGCATCAGTACCGCTGCCTTTGAGCCAGACCTGTCCTATGTGCTGCAGTCCAGATCTCAGTATCACATTAATGCAGACAAGTCATTTGTCATTTACAATAAGTCTCTGAATATTTTTTTTTGTTTTTTAATATCAAAATAAGTCATAAATTCAGACAAGTTTTCAGTTTTCACTCCAGAATAATAAACTTTTAAAAATCTGATCAACATTTACTAATATGTCATATTTCAAATGACTATTACTTGCTCCTTTTTCTGTTATTTTATTTAAAAATTCTGTAAATATCGTTAGAAAAAAGTTGGTGTTAAAAAAGTGAAGTTAAGTGAATATTCAATTGCATATGATATGCATGTTTCAAATGAACCAAAATACATGCTTAAGATCGCTGAAATTAAAATAAAAAAAGCAAACGTAAAACACAGAATGGCTTGCTGAAATTTGTTTAAATATATTGCTGTTCTATGTAAAGAACGTCCGCCAAGGTCGGCCGCCCTACATTTTTAACACACCAAATCTGGCCCCCTTTGCAAAAAGTTTGGACACCCCTGGTCTACACAACCAGATTCCCTTGTTTTGACAATTTGTCTTAGAAACTTATCTGGTTTGTCACATTGTAAAGCGTCTGATAGCAGTGGAGTGGAAAAGCTAGCAGTGATACCACTGTGACCAAACATGTTTGTTTTTGTCTCATTTCAGGGACAATAACATCGAGGAGTGTGGATTGGAAATGTTCTTTTCAGTTGATAAGGAAATGCTTGGAGAAATATCCACCCATGAGCTTAAAGAAGGCGGGGGAGACATCCAAGTTACCGAGGAAAACAAGGAGGAGTACATCAAGTGGGTTTTTCTTTTCCTCTCTTAGGCTCTGTGTGTTGAGTTGCATTGTGTTTATCTTTCTGTTGCCCCCTGCAGGTTGGTAGCAGAGTGGCGGCTGTCCAGAGGAGTGGAAGAACAGACGCAAGCATTCTTTGAGGGCTTCAATGAGGTCCTCCCTCAGCAGTACCTGCAGTATTTTGATGCTAAAGAGCTCGAGGTGAAGCTGAAGCATAAACTTGTTTACATAATGAGTGATTCAGAAAACACGAGGCGCAGGCTTTAGGATGAGTTCTTATCCTTGCACAGGTCATGCTGTGTGGCATGCAGGAACTGGATCTGGGGGACTGGCAGAACAACACCATCTACAGACACTACACTCGGACCAGCAAACAGGTCGTCTGGTTCTGGCAGGTCAGTGGGAAACGGCTGGATATCGGTTTTCACTAAATGGTTTTGCTAATTTAAAACGGAGACAGTTAAAACAAAATTGATGCTAGTGTGGTTCACGGTCCTGGAGTTTTGTGACAAACTGTCGGAAAAATGCACTACTCCTTAAAATCGTTTTTTCCAGCTATGAAAGAGAATCAGGATGGCTTGGAGGGGGCGGCAGTGGTGGATGTTTTATGATGGATAAAAGTTTAAATTAGATGTGAAAATGTGAGGAAAAAAAAGTGATACTTCACATACAACTTCATGTACATGTTTCTGCTTCCTCTAGCTTTCATCTCATCAACCCTGAAAATAGCAAACATTGAAGGTTTTTTGTTTTCAACTCTACTTTCAAACTGAAGACTGTTATCGTGACCTGGTAGCACTGACATACGATGCATTCACTGTTCTGACTTATCAATAAGACAAAGTTGTACTTTTTGCTTGTCTTTAAAGCATCACAAGTTAATTTTACAGTGATTTTCTGTAAAATGTTTTTCATTAAGTTCAGCCATAGTAAAATTGTTTTCATCACTTATTTGAGTAATTTAATCAGTAAACTCTTGTTTAGGTAATCTGTTTTAATTTGCTATTGCTGTAGATATTTTCTTGAACTTTTAATATCAATATTTCTGTCTGCAGTTGATGAAGGAGATGGACAACGAGAAGCGGATGCGGCTGCTGCAGTTTGTCACCGGCACTTGTCGTCTGCCTGTGGGAGGTTTCGCCAACCTTATGGGTAATTAATCCTCTCATTAAAATATTTCACTTATATATATATATATATATATTATATATATATATATATATATATATATATATATATATATATATATAGGTCCTTCTCAAAAATTAGCATATTGCGTTAAAGTTAATTATTTTCCATAATGTAATGATAAAAATTAAACTGTCATATATTTTAGATTAATTGCACACCAACTGAAATATTTCAGGTCTTTTATTGTTTTAATACTGATGATTTTGGCATACAGCTCATGAAAACCCAAAATTCCTATCTCAAAAAATTAGCATATTTCATCCGACCAATAAAATAAAAGTGTTTTAATACCAAAAATGTCAACCTTCAAATAATTATGTTCAGTTATGCACTCAATACTTGGTCGGGAATCCTTTTGCAGAAATGACTGCTTCAATGCGGCGTGGCATGGAGGCAATCAGCCTGTGGCACTGCTGAGGTGTTATGGAGGCCCAGGATGCTTCGATAGCGGCCTTAAGCTCATCCAGAGTGTTGGGTCTTGCATCTCTCAACTTTCTCTTCACAATATCCCACAGATTCTCTATGGGGTTCAGGTCAGGAGAGTTGGCAGGCCAATTGAGCACAGTAATACCATGGTCAGTAAACCGTTTACCAGTGGTTTTGGCACTGTGAGCAGGTGCCAGGTCGTGCTGAAAAATGACATCTTCATCTCCATAAAGCTTTTCAGCAGATGGACGCATGAAGTGCTCCAAAATCTCCTGATGGCTAGCTGCTTTGACCCTGCCCTTAATAAAACGCAGTGGACCAGCAGCTGACCTGGCACCCCAGACCATCACTGACTGTGGGTACTTGACACTGGACTTCTGGCATTTTGACATTTCCTTCTCCCCAGTCTTCCTCCAGACTCGGGCACCTTGATTTCCGAATGACATGCATAATTTGCTTTCATTCGAAAAAAGTACTTTGGACCACTGAGCAACAGTCCAGTGCTGCTTCTCTGTAGCCCAGGTCAGGCGCTTCTGCCGCTGTTTCTGGTTCAAAAGTAGCTTGACTTGGGGAATCCAGAACCTGTAGCCCTTTTCCTGCACACGCCTGTGCACTGTGGCTCTGGATGTTTCTACTGCAGACTCAGTCCACTGCTTCCACAGGTCCCCCAAGGTCTGGAATCGGCCCTTCTCCACAATCTTCCTCAGGGTCCGGTCACCTCTTCTCGTTGTGCAGCGTTTTCTGCCACACTTTTTCCTTCCCACTGAGGTGCCTTGATACAGTACTCTGGGAACAGCCTGTTCATTCAGAAATTTCTTTCTGTGTCTTACTCTCTTGCTTGAGGGTGTCAATGATGGCCTTCTGGACAGCAGTCAGGTCAGCAGTCTGACCCATGATGGCGGTTTTGAGTAATGAACCAGGCTGGGAGTTTTTAAAAGCCTCAGGAATCTTTTGCAGGTGTTTGAGTTACTTTGTTGGTTCAGATGATTAAGTTAATTGCTCGTTCAGAGAACCTTTTCATGATATGCTAATTTTTTGAGATGGCAATTTTGGGTTTTCATGAGTGTATGCCAAAATCATCAGTATTAAAACAATAAAAGACCTGAAATATTTCACTTGGTGTGCAATGAATCTAAAATATATGACAGTTTAATTTTTATCATTACATTATGGAAAATAATGAACTTTATCACAATATGCTAATTTTTTGAGGACATGTATATATTCTATCTGAATAAGGGGACAGTCTGTCAGTTTTAACATGTCTAAAACCATGGCTCTGAAATAACTTGAGCTGCCCGTCTCTTGTTTCCTGAAATGTTGACATAATGACTCTGCACAAAACAAGATCTCTGGCCATGGAAAGCCAAACCATTTCTTTTATAGAACCAGTTAAAATTGGCTCTACTCCTGGTCTTTGTCCTGGTCCTGGTCCTTCATTGGAATCAGCTCTCTTTAAAACACACAGGATTGTCATATTCTTTACAGTTTTCTTCTAAACCTTTTTATTTGCTTTACTACGAGCTGTAACAGTTAAATACCTGCTTGGATATTTTATGTCCTTCTTCACTGCACTGTAAAATAATTAGTTTTAAGAATAATATTAAAGTACATGGTTTATTTCCAGTATAATTAATTTTTTCCCCTCTTTGCCATTTCACACAATTGTTTTCTATTTCCTCTACTTGTTCACCATATCCTACAGTTTTATTTCTGAAAGAATCAAACACATTTTGGGGTTTTCTTTACTGTTGTTTTGTGGAGAAAAACAATTTATTCCGATTGTAAAGAGTGTCTCTCCCATTGCTCCAAAAATAATGCATCCATGTTATTAATTTTCAACCTAGTCTTGGCTGAAACACCCACATCAAAAATATTCCACTTTTTGGAACATCCTGCACATTGTTGTTTTTTTTTTTTAGGAAATAAAAACAAAAAAGATTTAAAAAATATGAAAAGCTTTACATATCTGGATTGGTCTGTAGTTGTTAAAGGTTTAAGTGAAAGTGAAAAAAAAAATTACCATTTTGGGTCAGCAGGATAAATATTGTCATTTTCAAGGTGCTTCAAGAATTGATGATCAGGCCCTGATCATCAACGCTCTCATCATGCACTCCTAATGTAATCCAGCTGTGTGAAATTTTAGCTGTTTTGAATTAAATTAAATGTTGGGTGACATAATTTCTAACCAGAGATAGGATTTCTTTTACATTGTACAGACATTTTTAAAAGGTTATTTACTTCAGTTTTTGTTGTTTATTTATATTGTTTGAGTTTCTCAGGATTATTCAAATGAATATTAAATGTTTGTATGCCCAAATGTATGTCTTAAAATATGTCTTCACAGTTGAATTAAATTACACTTTAATGATTTAATGCTATAATTAAATTAACCAAATTGGGGATGGCCTCAAATTTTTATCAAAATATTTTGTGGTATTGTAATGACAAACGTGACAATAAGAACCATTTATTACTTATGACTGTGTCACAGCTGTTGCAGCCCCACGAACACAAATACTGCTCCTGAAAAACCCCTTTATAATACACTTCTTTAGGACGTCAGGCACACACTGCTCACAGTAAAAGCATTTAATCATGTTTTCCATTGATGAGTCTTTAAACAGTGGAGAAAATGGTAAAATAAGGATTTATGTATATATATTTTTGTAAACATCGTTGAGATTTATCATGTTTATTATGATAAATGATAACAATATGATAAATACTCACTCCTCAACCAAATGGTTAAACCTATGTGCCATTAAATTGGGGGAAAAAAAAAAAAAAGACAGACATTGGGACAAAATGATTCAAAGTGACGAGTTCCCCTCCTTTCAGGGAGCAACGGGCCACAGAAGTTCTGCATTGAGAAGGTGGGAAAGGAAAACTGGCTGCCCAGAAGTCACACATGGTGAGTCTCAAAAAAACTCAACATCAGCCACACAACTGTTCTCCTTCTGGGATGCTTCAGGTGATTATATGATGTTGAGAAAATATTTGTTCAACTGTTTATTTTTGTGCTGTAGCTTCAACAGATTGGACTTGCCACCCTATAAGAGCTATGAACAACTCAAGGAGAAGCTGATGTTCGCCATTGAGGAGACGGAAGGATTTGGACAGGAGTGAAAGAGGGAGATGAAGTGGGAAAACCCCATCAATGTTTAAATCGGGGAGCGCCAGCCTGCAGAAGCAGCAGGTGTTTGGAAGAGGCGACACTCGTCTGCATGCACCAGCTGGTGAGATGGCTGCCAGCATGTGCAGTATTCTGAATCGGGGAAGTCCTCTTACAGCAAACCTCTCATGGCTTCATGAGCCGGAGCAGAATTTCGTATTCTTTCAAAACCAAAATCCAAAGGCTGCCTTCCAAACACAGTCGTCATGTCAACGAGAGAAACTCATGAGCGCAAGGGCATGATCTGAGACGTAGAGGGTGTGGCTTTAAGTTTTCAACTCGGCTAAGTTCCCCCAAAATGAGTTGCTTTCTAATGAGTCTGAACTAATGATTTAAATGAATCTTCCTCTCTTAAGTTAACATTAATGACTTTCAAAAGCTTCAATAACAGACAATCTTGGTGCTTCAGAGATTTGGGATTCTTTGCTTTCGTTTTGCGCTCTCTGGATTATGTCATGTTTCGAGTCTGTGAATCGATGAATGATTGTGAACAGTGTTGTAACCGCCATTATTTTTTTTTTAATGGTGGTGGCAAATGTTATAAAAACCATTTAACTGGCCCTAGTTTTATAGGGTCGGAGTCTGCACACTGTGATCTGTAATAACAGGATAATAATATGGATTAGAGTTTTCTGGAAGAATCTTAATGTTAACAGCTTTAATGAGTTTTTTTTGGTCTTTTAATGTACAGAAGTAGTCTTAATTAAACCAGTTACTTAAAAATCCACAGAAGACCAGAAGAACGCTAATACTACATCAAACCAAATAAAATTTAATCCTATGAGGCATTTTCATTGCAACCCGGTTGTCTCTTTTAAACATGTAGCATTTGAAACATGAACAAGTGTTTTCTTGCCTTATTTTGACATCTTTCACAACAGACCTCAAAAAAGAAGGGATACAAAGGTTTTCAAAAGTCAGCAATAACTGAGGAAATTTAAATCCCGCCTCTCTTTACACCTGTCATTTGTAGCTTGTTCTGTCTGAACTTGTGAAAAATAATATATTTTATCATTACTCTGCATTAATGGGCACTCCTAGTGAAGATGTGTGAAGCAGCTTTTAAAATAATTTTTTCAATAACATTTAGAGAAATGTGTTTAGAGATTACATTTAAAAGTAAAGTGTAAATTTAAAAATGCTTGTGTTACAGCATTTTAAAACGTTTAAGGAAACCAATTGTGGTAATTTTTATAAACGAAAAAATTACCACAAAATAATATTTGAACAAGAGATATAAACTGAATCCATGTACAAAGATTAAAGGTGAATTTTCCAGATTCTTTTTGAAGAATATTTTACTACAATGAAAGCTGAATTTCTTTTGAGGCTTTTTACATATTTTTTGTCCTGGGTGCCAATAAATCTGGAGTGCTGAAACTCCAGCACTCCAGAAAGTTGTGGCTTTTTTTTTAATCACCAAAAACCTTTCCTGAGGACGATTATGTAATAAAATGAAACCTTGTGTTGTGAAGACTGTTTAAACTGCGTAGTCACACACTGAACCAGCAGAGGAAACTCTGAACTTTGGATTCAAGATGAATTATCAGTTTTTAGTCTTTTCTCCCTTCAGGCTCCCAGCCAGCAGAAACAGTTGGTCATGTGGTAAAATAAACACTCTTATTCTCTCTGATCAGACTGATTCATTCCTCCATTGGAATAAATAAATTGATCAAATGTCCAGGAGAAACTGCAGTAGGAAGATTTATTGGTAATTTTAGTTAAGAGAACTGTATGAATGTATGAGGATCAAAGGTCAAGTTGTGCTCAATATGCCACCTCCTGAAAGCATTTTTTGAATTTTTCACAATAGAAACCCTGGAACGTTGTAAACGAGCAGATATGGAAATAAAAATAAAGATGCTCATGTTTGTTTTTTAAATATTTTCCAGAATCCTGGTTAATCTAGCTGGTCACTCCTTTACAGGACGAGAAGCTGTAAATGGTGTTCATAACAAAGTTTCTTAAGATTTTAAAGAAGTATAAGGCAATGCTCTATTTTTTTTTCCTCTCTAACTGCTTATATGTACATGAAAGATGTGTAACATAGGAATTGTCACATTAATAAATGAACTCAAAACATCCCATTTGTGGTGTTCTGGTGAAAGTAAATGTTACTGCCTGCAGATAAAAAAACACCTTAAGGCTGAAATACTGGCATGGGTTAATTTTAATTATATTCTGTACAAAACTGGGAGAAATAACATCTGATCAATGTAACCGTTTTAATATAAAACAAATGTCATTTTCCAGTACAGGAAACGGTTTAAACAAAGAGGCAGGTTTGGACTACAAACATGGCTGCCTCTGTGAACTGTTGTGGGCATTGGTCTGTGTCTGCAGCTTGCCACTGGTTTCCATGTCGCCATGTTCCTCTGTCCCTTTCTCAGCCCCTCCCTTGGTGGTAGCCATGGCAGCAAGGCGGCCTCTATCCGTCCCCTCTTCGTCCCCTGGTTGAGTTTCTGCTGTCTCCTGGTCTCCATCGGAGCTGTTATCTTCCTCTGCCTCCTCTCCATCAGTCTGTGAGCGTTCGGAAATCCTCGTGAATCTGCTTCTCTTCCCGTTGCGCTCTCCTTCCTGCTCCTGAACCGCCGATGCTCCTGCAGCCTCATTGGCCTCCTCATCCTCCTCTGTCCCCACCTCTGCTCCTGTCATGTCTCCTGCTGTGGGACATTTGTGGTCTCTGTAGTAGCTCTGCCTGGTGAATCCCTTGTTGCATATGGAGCACCTGAACCTGTAGTTGTCTGTGTGGGACTGCTGATGCTCCAGCATGTGAGCCCTGCGGCTGAACGCCTTCTGACAGAACAGACACTTGTAGGGTTTGATACCTGGCAGAGAGGAGAGCTGGTTACAAAAAGAACAAATACCAAAGAAATGCTAGAATATGTTAAGATGTGAAAAATTTACACAATCTCAACTTTTGTCAACTTTAACACCAAGAATAAAGAGCACAGGTTTGAATTCAATGCCAATTTTCTCAGGGTGTCTGCACATCTACAAAGACTCTTAAGCCTTAAATTCATCCATCTAAAATTAAGCCCTTAAAATGTATTAAATTCATTTTTTAAAAGTTGGGCTTTAATATGGTCATTATGGATATTGATTTAATTTTAGAACGTGCCAATTTCATCACCAAACTTCATCCAGCCAAGTAAATTCCATTCATAATGGTCTTAAAGCATCTTAAATTTGAGATGGTAAAGTCAAAGAAGTATTTGCATCTGCACTAATATTTGGTTTTATGTCATGCAGTGGTGGACACACTTCCGCTCCGCAAATGAAAAATTTGCGAAGCTAAATTTTCCATTTAGCATTTTTGCTAATTTTGAAAAAGCTTAGCGCACTTAGCTTCCTCTAAATACCATGCTGATGTTGAGCTTCAGTGCTTTAGGGTTACTGTAGCTAATTTTCTAATTAGTTCCCACCATTGATGTCATGTATCAAGTTCCACCACAGCCACACAGTCAACAAGCTTCATACTTGATCATTACAAAATGTATGGACTCAACACTTTGAACTCAATTGAATTTTTAACCCCAGATGAGACAAAGATGAGCTCTTTGACCACAAAGACTAAAGCAACGTCTGGAAAGCAATTAGTTTCTGATAAATCGCAGGTGTCAAACTCCAGTCCTCAAGGGCCTGTGTCCTGCAGTTTTCAGATGTGCCACAGGTACAAAACACTGGAATGAAATGGCTTAATTACCTCCTTGTGTAGATAAGTTCTCCAGAGTCCTGCTAATGACCTAATTATTCTATTCAGGTGTGGTGCGGCAGAGGCACATCTAAAAGTTGCAGGACACCTGCCCTTGAGGACTGGAGTTTGACACCCCTGCGATAAATGGACTCTTCTGACAGTGAGGGCAATGTGGTAAGAGTGGTCAGAATTGTGCCAGAAGCTTGTGTATGTAAACTACGAAGATCTTCAGACAACAGATGGATCGTTATTTTCTCACCAGAATGTGACAGGATGTGGGCTTTCAGTTTGTCTGGTCTGTTGAATTCTTTGGTGCAGCCCACATGTGTCCTGAGAAAGGAAATAAGGAAGAGTAGATGCAAAAATGTGTGGAAAAAATAAAAGTATTTGAGTACATAGATCGGGTCAGGGGAAGGAGTTGGGGAACTTTTTCACTTGTCCTCCTTCTGGAGCCTCACCTGAAAGGACACTTGTATTTCTTAAAAGGTTCGTGGATCAGCATGTGTCTCTTCACTTTGTCCTTTCTGTTGAACGTCGCCTCACAGAGCGAACACTTGTACGGTTTCTCACCTGGAAACGAAATAAAACTCATCTTTTGTTGGATTCAAGGTTCACAAGTTCCCTGACTTAACACTGCGAACTGAAATCGCACATTTTAGATCTGAGTTGGAAAAAAACCTTTGTTAAATTTCAGACCTGAGTGAATGCGAGTGTGCAGCTTGAGGTAGTGCTCAGTCTTGAAGGCCTTTTTGCAGATCTGACACTTAAATCTTCCTCCAACGCCATGAGTGGGCAGGTGGCGCCGCAAGTATCTCTCACATGGGAAGACCTGATGATGTACAGAGAGATGGCGAACAGATCAGAGCTCACCTAAAAGTGAGAGACTTTTAGCTGTAAATGATCAAGAGTAGCTATAATCACTATAGCAGCACCTAGTGACATAATAAGGAACTCGAGACTCAAAATGAAATGGTGTTTAAAAAACTTTGCTGTTCCTGATTTTCTCTCTTGCCCAAACATGAGCAACTATTGAAAAGTCAGTTTTTTCTACAGCTGACCTGTATACTATCATCTAAATGACTGTAATTCTGTCATTTATGTATGTTTTATGAGCAGATTAGAGAACATCTGAAGCGCTTCTTTTCTTTTCATGAGGACATGCACACATCAGAGAACAGAAAGCATGACTTCCAAACTGACATTATTTATGAGCTTTTGCCGTTTTAGGTTGTAGAAATTAATTTAATTTGAATCACTCTGAGCCTCATATGTGCAGCATGATGGTAAGAGGTGTACCTTCTGACAGTGAGGGCAAGGGAAGCTGTGAGAGGCGGTCAGCAGGTGTTGCTCCAGAGCTTCCTGGGTTGAATACCTGCTCTGACATTTCACACACCTGCAGTGACACAAAGGCACTCTGGTGAAAACTAAACACTGCATGTAAAGGAAATGCTTTGGGGGTTTTCTGTTGTATTTAGACTAAAGAATAAAGTTGGAGGGGATTTTTTAAATAAAGTAGAAAACTAGATATACATAGATTTCTTCTACATGTTTACTGAAGCTGATGTGTCAGAAGGAACATCCTGCAGGAGAAGTGGCGGTCCTGACCTGAACACGCTCGTCTCCTTGCGCGTGTTCTGCTGTGGGCAGAAGCAGTGGGAGTACTGGTGGACTCCCAGCTCAAACAGGGAGGGGAAGACCTTGCTACAGAGGTGGCAGCGGTACGTCAGCTGCTCCTGGTGCGTCCGGATGTGTTCCAGGAAGTGGTCCAGCTTCTGGAAGGTCTGGGAGCAGCTCTTCAACACACACTTGTACACCTGTAAGGAAACACAACTGACGCAACTTTAGTCCCAATCTGCTCAATCTCTATTACTTATGTGTACTGGAACTTGTACAAAAGATTAAAATACAAACAAAATTTCTTCACTTTTAACTCAGTTTCTAGACTTTTTAATGTGGTCTTGAATGAGATTTCTTCAGGCTTCAGCTGCTTAGAATAGAAAAACAAAACAATTCTCTCTGCCTGCTTAAGGCCCAAACCTCTGAACAAGAGGTGGATTTTAACTTTGTTCCCTCTTTACTGCATCTCCCTCAGCATAGATATAGACATATTTGGTAACCATGGAAATGTCAGACTCTTGGCTACAAGCTGCAGGTCAGACCTTAGTGACCAGGGGCCTCATGCATAAAAGAATGAAGTTTTCACACTAAAACTTGGCGTACGGAGAAATTTAGAAAAGTGCGGTGCACAAACAAAATGGGATGCATAAAGCCGTGCACCTTTCCTTTAGAAATCCTAATTTACGGGAAGTAGAATGCAGCTGCTGGTCTCCAATGTCACCACCCATAAATGCATGTGTAAATTAGTATAAATACCCGGAAGTCTGCCACCATGTGAAGCAGAAACCATGGTGACGTCCTTGTTTGTAGCAGTATGAGTATTTATAATAATTATATATTTTATTTAAAAGGTGTTTTCAGGACACATAAGGCCACCTCACAAAAATAAAAATTATACATTTGAAAGAAAAAAATAAAATCCAAAATAAATAAAAAGATGGTGAAAATGCCCGTTTGAACAATTGGGCAATCAGCCAGGATTTAATAAATAATATCTCTGATCAATTGCTCCCTCTAAATCAGGGGTGTCCAAAGTTGGTTCTGGAGGGCCGGCTTCCTGCATGTTTTAGTTCTCTCCCTAGTGGTAGTAACAACCTCCTCAACAAGTCAGTGTTCCTCTTAGGCCTTCTAATGAGCCATCATTTGATGCAGGTATTTAAACCAGGGAGAAAACTAAAACATGCAGGATGCCGGCCCTACAAGACCCACTTTGGACACCCCTGCTCTAAATCCTTCCATTAGCGATGTTCTCCATCAGAGCCAAAACGCTCCACAATTACGCTACACAATTTTGCACAGCTACTTACATACGTGATTGTCTACACACCTTAATCACCTTAAAAATAATCAAACCTGTTTGGAGTAAATCTGCTGATCCAACCATGTTTTTTTTTTAGTGAGAATGAAATTACCCCATGGATGCATTCCATGCGCTTCGGCGCACAGACCGACGCATTACATCTTTACTTGCTGAAAGTAAAGATCTTGACAAAAGCTGAGGAAAAGTACTACAAACAGGAATAGGAAAAGTACTATTTACATTCGAGTGAGGTTTTCACATCCTTTTATTTTTATTTTGTGTTCATGTTACTTTATTGTCTTGGGATAAATACGGTTCAGTTTCATCGTTTACTTTTAAGCAATAAAAAATATGTTTGATGCTTCTTGGTCTAAAAAACACTAAATGTAGTCAGGTTTCAGTGTCTTTAGGTGAGTTTTGACGCTTTGTAGTTTGATATTGTTCACAGAAAAAGTTTGCATGGCTGCCGTAAATTTTCACACCAATGTATATTTACGTACACTTTGACGCAAAGTAAATTTTTATACATGCCGGCTTGCGAGTAAAATATGGCGCCGCACATTTTTTGTGCACACGCACACATTATGCATGAGGCCCCTGATCATTTGCTGTAAAAATCCCCAGATGTATTAGACTCTACACAGGTAATGCGGATCTACAGTTCACAAAGGTTTGTAGCCTTATTTATGATATTTTCAAAAGGTTTATATAATTTGGCGAGGGACAAAAAAAAAAAAAATAATAAATTCTTTTCTCCTGCCTCACCTGCTCGCCTTTGTGCTGGGTCAGGTGAGACTTGAGCTGGAAGTAGGTCTTGAACTTGCAGGTGCAAAACTGGCACTGGTAGGAGCTGTCTATCACAACGATCTGCTTGGTTTGAGCGCCGCCCTGCTGGTTCTGGTCAGACATGAAGTGAGCGTGACCGTCCTGGGCGTCTCCCCGTTGGCTGGCGGTCAGACCGGGTTCAGCCTCCATCGCTGCCTCCTCCCCTGGTTCCTCTGTAAACAGGAAGTGAGGTCACTATACAGGCTGTGTATCTGGAGTTAGTTTTGTTGTCCAAAATGAAGCTCACCCGTTTGGGCCGGCTCTGGTTCTGCTTGAGTCTGGTCTCGGTCCATGTCGCCTTGTTTCTGCCGCTCCGCCATCCGTTCTTCCTCAATGAATGAAACGGGAACCACCTTCACTGTGATGGGCAGCCGGGTCACAGTGTTCGCCACGCTCATCGGCCACACCTGGACAGTCAGGACAGCAGGGGGCGCTTGTTCATTCAGATGTGAATCTCTGTGTTTTGTGATTTGAGTTGATCCCAGTTTTTAGGGTTCAGATATGATATTTAATTCAGAAACCAGTTTTACTTTTCAAACGGTCAAGAGTTCAAATTATGTGACTGACAAGAGGAAAGAAATACAACATTTATTTAAATTCTATTACGACCTTAACTGCCTGGCTTTAAATACAAAAATATTTTTAAAAAATGGATAAAAAACAATTTCACAAAACATTAAGCAGACTCAAATCAATTTGATCATTTTGGACTGAATTCCAGGATGAAGAAACTGTGATTCCCTGTAGAATCGGGGGAGTTTTTTCTGCACATTTACTTATTTACTTCAGCCATCTTAAAATTCACCTCTAGAAAAACAAAAACAGACAGTCCACCTTGTGAGTCTGCATGTGTTTCTTCACGTTGGACTTCTGAGCGAAGGCCCGCCCACAGACAATGCACTGGAACGGTTTCTCTCCTGTGTGGCTGCAGGAAGAAAACAGACCAAGTGGTGATCCTCTTCCATCTACACTGGAGTCAGTCGGTGGGCAAAGTCCACGTTATGCTGCTCACCTTCTGATGTGTTGCTGGAGGTCAAAGTTTTTGGAGAAGAACTTATTGCAGAAATTACACTTCAGCTTTGGACCTTTTCCCTTCAGGTGATCAGCTGAGGAGAGAAACTTAGAACTAGAATTATAGACTTTATTGTCATTTAAAATCTTCATTTTGAGCAAAATTTTGTTGCAAGGCTCCAATAAAGACAAAATAAATAATTAACAATAAAATGTTTGAATCTAATATGGAAAATAAATATATATACGTATATATCATAATCAGCATCATAGTCCAGACTTTTTCAACCTGATTGGTACTTCTGCTTTGCATCAATACCTTGAATGGTTAAATTCCAGTAATACTTGAGGTTTATCTGTAACTTGCACACATATTGGAACTGAATATTTAGTATTCAGTTCCTTTTTACAAAATGTTCATGTATTTTATTTTATCTGTGGAAAAAGGCAGAAGTTAGGGTGACTTAACTTTTGCCTTTTCTAAACCTGTCACAATAATTTATCTCAATAAGTAATAAATCAATGATTTGCTTAATAAATTAATAGCTTGATCATTTCCAGTCTGATTAATATTTTTTGAAGCGTCATTTTGCTAACAGAGACATCATATTCTATTTTCTTCTTGTTATTTTGGTTATTTGCGGGGGTTTTTGGTTGTTGTGATTTAATTGGATAATTAAAATGTCTTCCAGTTCATTAGTCTTCGAGAGGGCAAACTTCCATTATAATGCCATTATCAATATGTTACTTAAAAATGATCTGAAAACAAAAATATAATTTATCACAATAATTTCTGGGACAATTTATAATTAGATAAATATAAATTTGTGATGGTGTAAGACTAATCTAGTCTTACACTTTTGGCTGAATATCTTCTTGCAGCCGTCCATGTTTCCTTTCATTGGTGGATTTACTGGTATATTTTGAGCCACTGTCATGTTACAGAGCATTTTAGAGGGTTTAAGACGTGGGTATCAAACTATGGCCCTGCAACCTGAATTTGGCCCGCAGCACAATTATATTTGTCCCAACCTGTACCTCTAGCTGTCTGCCAGAGCTGGCCCCACTAACACTACAAATCCTTGAATGTTTTATAACCTAACATGTGAAGTCGACACCTCTGGTCTGATCCTGAACAGAAAGCTGACCAGAGTTGATGTGAAGGTTTAATTTCCCTTTGGCATCAAAAAAGTGTTAAAAAGAGGGAAAACAAATATCAGCTGAAAACAAATAAATCAATGATTTGCAAAAACTCTAGAAAACCAGGCATCATTTCCTTCACTTCACGGCTAAACACTAACATTACTGCAGCTGTGGCTACAGACCAGGAGCTTTCCATCATCGACGTATGAATGTGTGTGTGAATGTGTGTGAATATGAGTGACTGATTTCATTATTACATGTCTTTAAAACACTCAGGTGGTTGGAAAACCACTAAGTCTGATGTCAATATTTTTATTGTTTTTTATAGTAAAATCGCAGTATAATGTAATAGTAATATACGTTCACAGATGGGATAGTTATGTTTACTCGGTTACATTTACTTGAGTAACTTATTGAAATGTTTGGAAACAATTTACATCCAGGAGTAAAAATACATCTAAGAGTATTACTCTGTACTTAATACTCTTGATTAATTTTCTTATCTATGCTCTTAATTGGGTAAAATGTCTGGATTCTCTACCCACTGTAAGGAACGTCACAAAAATTAAGAACAAACTCCTTTTAAATAAACATTCACCCCACACACACACCTGAAGTTGTGACTGAAGTGACTGAAGTTATATTGATCTGGAAAACAGTTTATTTTGCCTGATCTTGTTATTTTGTAATTATGTTATTTATATAAATTCTTTTCAGTTTGGTTCTTAAAATACCAACATTTCCACATAATTTTATATTTTGGTGCATCTTCTGATATAATTCTTAAATATGAAGTAATTGATGTTCTGTACTTGAGTAAACTTTTCAAAAATACTTTTATCACTTGAGTACATTTCTTGGATTGTTACTTTTTACTTTTAATTGAGTAAAAATATGCTGAAGTAGTGATACTCTTACTTGAGTCTACATTTTGGCTACTCTGCCCATCTTTGCATACATAAAGTAGTTGTTAAGTGACAAAACATGATAAAATCCGGCGTCTAAGGAATACTTTAGTAAGCCATCACCTGCTGCTCCATCCATTGTCTTCTTGCTGCTCCGGGGCTGTTTGGGTATGATGACCTTTTCGAAGTCGCTCAGCTCTGCCATGCTGCCCATGTGGCTGCAGCTCTTTGCTTTGCTGCCCTGTTTCCCAGGGCTGTAGACGGGAGTACTGCTGAACGACTGGCCCTCCACGCACTAGCCAGGCACCCAGTGAGAAGGAAACAAGTAAATAAACACGGGAACTGGAGCTGGACGGTGTATGAGATATTGAGGACTGCAGGTGTAGGAACTCACCTGAACAGGGTGGAAAGCTGGCAGGCCTAACGTATGGATCTCTGCTGCACAGCCAGCACCAGCAGCCGCTGCAGCAGCAGCAGGGCCTGCCATGTGGGGCATCGTGCTGTACACCTGCACCACCGAGTTGCTGTGGCTCACTGGCACCTGAGAGGAGAGGGGCTGCTGGGTGGGTTGCCCAGCTGGCAGGGCTGGGGGCAGTGCCTGGCTGGAGGGCAGAGGGTTGGAAGCCTGCTGCTGATGCTGCTGCTGCTGATGATGATGGTGGTGGTGGTGATGATGCTGAAGATATGATACCCCTGCTGTGTGCATGCTCAGGTTGCTCTGCAATAACAGCAAAACATCTGAAGAATGTGTTTCAGTCGGAGCAAAGCAGCGGCCGCTCCAGGATGTACCTGTATGGGCGTCTGCATGGCGGCCATGGGCTGGTCGATGGAGGTGAAGGCGGAGATGGCCGACATGAGGACGTCATCGCTGACCAGCACGTTGCCTTGCACCAGAGTGTGAGTCAGAGGAGACGGAGGGACTGTTATATAGGTGGATACCTGATGGCCGAGCAGGATAGAAGGAATTTAAACAACTACAGATAGTCTTTAGAAGATTTTTAGCATTTTGTTGCAGATAATTAGCTTATCCAAATACCATTAGCTACAAAAAAAAAGTTGAGTCCAACTTTAAAACTTCTGGGTTTCCTTCCCACTTTTATTCTCTGTTCAATAATTATTACCTTTGTTTACCATAAATGCTACCTCAGACCTTCTGATTCCACGCTAACTTTATATATTTGACTGGCAGCCAATGAACATGGCAAATAACATTACAATAAATTATTTTATCTTATATTTTGCAGTTATGATTGAAAAACAGATTAGATTTTCATATTAAAGAAATATTAACATTTTCTGATTAACAATGTATTCGACTCAACTTTTTAACTTGACATTTTTTTATATCTGCCAGTTTTCCAGGGGCACTACTTTAAAAACCAATGGGCCTGATTATAGCACTAATGTATCAGCCGCATCAAATATTAATCGGTTTCAAATCTATTAATAAATCAGTCTGAAAGAATCCAAATTTGGAGCTAATATATGTTTTAATAAAGAAATAATAATATCTAGTTTTTTCCAAGTATCTTTATTTTAAAAACAACAATAACAAGGGAATTGTTCCCCTCCACTGTCGCCATATACTTGCTCAGGAGAAGGGATTGCTGCAAGCAAAGTGAGTAAACAATCAGATTTGAGGCGTTCATATGCTCTGCAAACTCTTAGTTTTCACTGATATTCCTTAACAAAAAGGAAACGGGCCCACAGCCTCACAGATCCTTTTTCCACATACTTGTTCTTTATATTAAGTCGAACTCACCTGGAATGTCTGATGCCACAAAGTTCAATATTGATCACAACTGACCCAAACACATCGTTCCAGTTACAGTACAACATGCATAAACCATCAGCAACTCTACACACCAATCAGTTTCCACCGCTCTGTCCCCACCTGTCTGTTGATGGCAGTTTGGGGTACAGAGCCGACTGACGGGACCGGCGCATAGGCGTTGGTGGAGGCCAGGGACACGGTGGACAGGGAGGGGGTGCCAGACTGGCACTGCTCCCTCTTGTGCGTCATGAAGGCAGGCAGAGAGTTGAACTGTTTTTTACACTTGCCACACAGGAACACGTCTTCGTCGTCTGCAGGATGATTAAAAACAACCAGTCCGGTTAATATTAGTAGGAAAAAAATCCTGCAGATGGAAACGAGAGCAAACAGAATATTTCATACAAGCCGGTTCATCACTTCAAGCAGTGAATTCCTGCATGTGGTCTACTGATCTAATGGGACATTTGTGGTAAATGTCCCATTAGATCAGGGCACATTTATTAACTGCAACAAGCAGTTAATCAATTAATCACCCATTCTGATGATTTATATTTTCTGAAAGGCTAATTTCTTTACAGACACTTCACAATTTAGTTTATTTATGGTTTCTGTTGAGTTATTTTTATCTGTATTTTATTTATTGATTTTCTTTGTTGTGCTTTATTTTGGATATTTAAAATGTCTTCCTGTATGGAGTGTTATTTACAAAATTAAAGTTTATTAGTCTTTAAGATGGCCAAATTGCATTACTATGCCATTATCAATATATTTTTCCCCAAACTGTCTTTTTTAAATTTAAAGAACATAACTTGCAGAGTTAGGGGACATTTTTTGCAAAACTTTTTTTACAATTTTAAGTTTAATTATCTTTTTTACACACAGTGGTCAACCTCCCTTCCAGTTTCACTCTTCTGTTTTTTTTTTTTTTTTACATCTGCATAACCTTCGATCAGTTAGAATTTAGAAACCATGGTAAATGTGGACAGGATTTTGTATAATCAATACAAAATCCAAATTAAAACTATCCAAATTAAACCTAGTCCAGCTTCGAATTCAATCCAGAACATACAAATAAAAAGATTTAGAGGCCACAAAGCTGTGAAATTGCCTTTTTGTGTTTACATTTTAAAATTTCCTGATCAAAAATCAAGTTTTCTGTGTTAAACTAAAAATTAAGGTCATCATCCAAATAATGCAAGAACTCACATAAGAAGAAATTTAGATTTTTTTTCTGGCTTAGAAAAAAATGCAATAAGACATAAAGTTTATAAAGTTTGTGTGTATTTGTTCCCCATATTAAATTGTAATTTTTCCATATTATTCCAGGTGCAGGAACCCTGTGCAGGAACCCTGTTAGTGATCTCACATACCCATGGGCTGGATGGCCGGCGTCGCAGAGACATTTTGGTTGTTTGGGTCAGGAACTCCGCCTTGACCATCCAGCAGTGACTGAACTGCCAGCACAGTCTGGTTGTCCATGCCTGAGGAAGATAGAGATGGAGATGAGGTCACTGTGACAAAAGCAGTTGTTTTCATAAGATGTGAAGTGCGTTCTGACATGTAGAGCAGTAGACACTCTACTTACTAATCAGGCAATTCTGAAAGCAGTTGGTTGCACCACATTTTATTTAGGGGTATCTGAATAAGGTGGTCAGAATACAAATGTACACCACATTTTTCAGAGTTTTTTATTATTATTATTATTATTTTTTTTTTAAGAATAAAAAAAACAGTGTATCATTTTCCATAACACTTCAGTTACCTTTAACTAGTACTACTTTGTAGTACTAGTTAAAGGTAGTAGGTACTACTTTGTCCATCACATAAAATCACTACAAAATATATCAAGGTTTTTGGTTATGATGTGGAAAAAATGTGAACAGATTCTAGAGTAAAGAATGATTTAGTTGTGCAAAGAAAACATCATTTCTGCAAAATGTTCAGCTTTCTATGTGTTTACGTCGCCAACCACTTAGGTTTTGTACTCTGATTACAAGTTGTACATGGGTTCAATGTTAATATGAAATCCTAAACACATCAGGCCTAAAATCCAAGCTTGAAGCAACTTAGTAGACTTGTGACAGCGTGTTGCAATTTAAAAGGACAGCGAGAGAAACGAATATCGCCTCACACTGCGCACCCACAATAGGATGTCTGATAGAAAATAGGTGGAATTAAAACGGGAAAATATTTCATATCTGCTTGGTTGTTTACATTTACACTTTCAGAGTTTTTCTGTTCTCTACAATGATAAACGTCTAACTGAGATTCAGACATGTTTTTCTGATTTCCATAAAGACCACAAAATATATTTATCAAAAATATCCTCAAATGCGCGACTATGTTTATGGTTATGCAACAATAAAAAGAATATTACTACCTTCGAGCACCTCAAATATTGCCTGCGCCATCTTGAAGCTCTCCTTTTCTGTAATAGGCGCTCCACTGGCAATGCCTGCTGCTTGGTGTAAATACACAAGAAGTCAAGAAAACGTGAGAAAAGCATTTTAAACATGAAGGCTTCACGGAAAATCCAAGTATAGCTAAGCTATTGGGGGTATGTTTTACTTAAGTTACAAAGTGTAATAGCTAATAATAAATATGTATTAAGTGTCTGTATAAAAATAACTTGAAAATAATGAAAGATGCTGCATTTTTAAGCTCAGTCTTAACTGAAATTTCGTTTATTTAGCCATTTTATTTAATAAATGTTGGCTCACAGTGATTTTCTCCACTGTACACGAACGCACCTTCCAATCGAAGAATCTGTGCTCGTGCACATGACAGGCAGCTATTCGCACCAATCAGAGCCCACCAGCCTCGCAACGCCGAAAACGCACCTCTTCGACCAATGGGGTTTGGTCTTTCTATCCACGTGCAGGTTTCGCGGCAAAAAAGATTTCGCGCGAAAACCGACCAACAGCTTGTTTGGATGTCGATCAGCTGGGACAATAACAACAAAAACGGTCGAAAGCTGGGTCGCGAGGACACTTTTACAGATTGGCCGCGCCCAGTGGTGAGCGACCCGAGGACCTCAGCCTGCCGGTTTGATGAATGAACGTAGATTGTGGCTCTATCATTTCGCGTTATTTTTGCATGTTTTATCGGACTACCTCCTGCGTGCCCCAACAAAACGAGGGGAATGAAGATATGCGGCTAAAGCTAACATGCTAACTCACCCTATACATCTATACGCAACTTAAATCTTGTACTTTCATCGAGACAGACGCCTAGTTTCACAAATATACAGACAGAGATTACTTCGGCGCGTGGCGATGCGTTTTGGTCTGTAGATATTTTATGCTGATAAGCTAACTTCTGTAGGCTGCACTAAAGTTTCTTTAGCTAAATAACTGAGCTCTGATTTCAAGATAAAATAAAATAATGTCACTGCAAGGTGGTTAATAGCTAGCTTAACTGCTGCCCGGTTCATTTAGTGAACTTGTGTGAGTCTTTGTTGTTGAGCTATAAGTTAGCTTGTTAGCAGGGCATCACAGTGGCCAGGCCGCGGCCGAACTCTGCTGACAGGAGGCTCGAAAACAAAAGATCCGCTAGCTCCTGAGCCAGCTCATTCATAAGCAGCGTTCATTACCTCCACCATAACATTTTAAAAATCTTTTTAATAACATTTTTGCCTTTGAGTCTGTAGGCGTGGTGCGCATTATGCGTTTAAGCAGCGATTCTCAGTTGCCAATTTTCCTGTTTGGCAGAACATCCTGTTTATCAGTTTCACCTCTGATCTACATTTGATTAATCAAATCAGTATTTCTAATTTAGATTTAAGTGACTAGATCAACATTTTAAAGAAGAAAGGAGCTTTGCTTTTGAAGAAATGCTCTAACTCCTTTTAACAACACACACCCCTGAAAAGATTGCCCATTTTGCACCACAACATTCACAGGGCACTGCAAATGCCAGTAGGTGTTGATCCTCTTTCACAGCACGGCATCACAGTGTCCAGTGAGGGCCACCATGTCAGAAACTCTGATAACAGGGCAGACGTCGGAGGATCTGCTGGCAGATTTTGAGACGCTGCTGAACTCTGGGAGCATAGACCTGGGCGAGGAGCATCAGATAGTCATCATCACCAGCCCCAGCAACGAGGGGCTCCACCCGGCCGTCGCCCCGACCAGCACAGGGGAGATCCTGCTCTTCGCCACGCCACAGGGCCCCACCGACGTAGGGGTCCAGGACAAGAGGCGGCCTGTTCTGGGGAGGCCTCCGGTGAGAAGAATGAGGGATGGGGAGATGAGGGGAGGGCAGTGTGAGAGAGAGTGAAAGAGCAACAAGGGAAGTGGTTAAACAAGGGCTTTCAGATGTTCTGCAGTGCAGCAGAGCTCTTCCAAAACCTCAGCATCTGTTGCTTGAAAGCATCTTGTTTTGCACATCTGCATTCTTCCATGATACATCACCTCTACATCATCTAATACGACATAATAAACCTCCATTGTAACATGTTCTCTCCTCCACCTGTTTGTGGTTAGGTAAAGAGGAAGTTGGACCTGGACAGCGATCATCAGTATGTCAGTACCACACGACCAGCCACAGGCCAAGTCCCGCCCTCCACACCTGCTCCTCCTAGAGGTAGATTCATTTAAAAAAAAGAAAAAAAAAACCTCACAGCGGGAGGCATTCATATATGCGAGTGCTTCCAACACACACACACACACACACACACACACACACACACACACGTATACGTCAACCTTTGTCATTGTTTTAAGAGCAGCTGATGCTTTATTTAAAACGTCCTCCATTGTTTTCTGCCAGGTTCAGTAGTTAAAGGTACTAACGGCAGCTTTTCTCTGCATTCAGATCACATCCAGTGACATGCAAGTTTCCATTCCCCTCACCCTCAAACTTCTATTCATAAACTATGACACGTTGTATCAAGGTTTTATATAATTGACATAAAAATATGATATGGGGAATAAAATTGTGTTGACCTCCCTTTACTCAAAAAACACAACACAAGCATTTGCTTTCTAAGTAGTAAGTTATGCCTGCCTGTGTGCAATTTATTTGAGCTTTGTTCATTGAGACGCTAGATCTCATTTACAAGAGAGAAATGTTTTTATGAAAATAAACAAAATTACAAACACAATGCAAGTAGTTAAGAACTATGTCTCAGTTAAATAAAAACAAGCGCAAATTAAAAAAAAAGTTTTCTCTTTTTGTATTAGATCAGAGCAGAGTAAGAAAATGCTTTAGTACAACTTCAGACTGTGCTAATGAAATACTGAAAGTATAAATTCGGCTGTTCTGTGAAGGCCTCAGAGGTTTGTTAGAGAACAAATAGCATCACCAAAACAAGAAATAGGCTTAAATGATAAACTTTTGCTGGGTGATGCATTTTCTCATCACTTTTTGTGATAAATGGTAATATTGTTGTTATGAGATAATTTTCTAGTAATATAACAGTAATGGCATAATAATGTAAGCTTGCCCTCTCAGAGATCAATAAACTTTAAATTCTAACAAACATTTAACACTGGAACTGGAAGAAATTTTAAATATCTTAAATAAATAAAACAGAAACAATACGTAAAATGGATTATAAAGTTTCTGTAAACAAATTTGTCCTTCAAAAAAGGACTACTGTAACTCCCTGTTCATCGGAGTCCACCAAAAACACCTTCAGAGGCTTCAGTACATTCAAAACAGTGCTGCCAGGATCCTAGTGAGAGCTCGTAAATTTGATCACATCACACCAACTCTTTACGAGCTTCACTGGCTTCCTGTAACTTATAGGATTCAGTATAAAATTGCACTTATCACCCATCACTGTCTACATGGAACCTCACCGGATTACCTGAAGGACCTCCTTACTTCACATTCAACTTCTAGACCCCTACGATCCCAATCCAGCAATCTTCTCCACCTTCCTCGATCAAGACTAAGGACTATGGGTGATCGAGCATTTGCTGTGGCTGCTCCTCGTCTTTGGAACTCTCTCCCGGACTATTTGAGAGCCCCGCAATCATTGTCCGATTTTAAAACTGGCTTGAAAACTTTCCTCTTTAGACAAGCCTTCTCCACTTTTATTTGACAGTCTTTTTTTAATTGTTTTTGATTGTTGATTTTATGGTTTTAGATTAACCATGTCGCACTTTGAGATTTTTATTAATGAAAAGTGCATTATAAATTAAATTTATTATTATTATTATTACCAGTTGAGACCAAAGTACCAGACTGAAGACTTTTATGATCCAGTTTTTGGTAGAAAGAAAGAAAAGAGAAAAACAATAAATCATGCAAATGGAAATTATTGAACTCGGTTTAATTTATCCTGTGATTCATTGATTTATTGATTTATTTCTTATTGCGACAGGCCTAATAAAAACACAAATCCACTGAACCCCTGTTCAATCTGTCATCCTATCATGGAAATATGGAGTAAGGCAACCCTGTCAGGACATGACTGCTGTTTGGGTGTGAGAATCTGTCGACAGGAATGCAGTTTAGTGAAGCTATCCACAAATTTGACTGTTATAAATGGGCAGTAAAGAAGACACAAGATATTTTTTCAAGAAAGTCCAAAGAAATCCTTTGTGTAATTTGCCACAAGACGGGTAGGGAAGATGGCAAACATATAATTGGAACATATTTTAATGTTATTGCATGGTGATGAAAGATTATTGCACACATGGTGAATCACTGTGGTGGCTCCACCATGTGCTTTTCTACCGTGGAAACAGGAAGGTGGTCAGAGTCGATGAAGGACAGAAAACAGGGACGTCAATTCTGTTGAAATAACTTTATATGTCCCCGAGTGGCAATTTCAAGCCACAAGTTGTACAGACAGACTGAAGCCAACAGAATTCATAAAATTCACACATATTTTATGTGACTGACTGTGTACAGTGTGAAGTAATGTGAAGTAATTCTGTAGCCAGTCAGATTAAAACTTATTTACATGATAGAATGGTCAAGCCAAAGCCCAGACCTACATGACGGAAAACAAAAACAGCAAAATTAAGATAATTAGGAAATGAGATTTAAAGAAATGGTTCAAACATTTTCAGTACTTTGGTAATTGTTGGGTTATAATGGATAATAAACATGTTTTTATATGAAATTTGACACTCATGAAAGGAAAAAATACCCATAAATGGACTAAATGAGTAACACACAGAATTAAACAGAGAGAACAATCCAAGCCCAGTATGATCAGAAGATTAGATTAGAGAAAGATCACTCAAATATAACCTAAACTGAGACAGCCTGAATCAAGAGGGCAGCCTTACCTGCAAATAAAACAGTAGCTACAGTTTTTCAGTTTGTAGATTAAACACCTCTTGGTGTTTTCTGTTGATATTGTTGCGTATATAGTCGACTCATTCATTTATACACAGCAAATCACCTGGAACAAGCTGCTTCTAGGTTATTGCAAAAAAAAGACAACTTTGGCTTCAATCATCATATCTCAAAATTAGCACAGATGAGACGTTGCAATGTATTTTACAACTTAAGTACAACCAAAGCAGTTTCCCAATTTTTCATGTTAAAAATCTAAAACTCAAGACTGTGGAGGAGATTAAATATTTAGGCATGGTTTATGAGTCCGACATCTTCAAATCATAAATCTGTAATGTTGTAAACCTGTAAATCTTTTAGACAAGTCAGAAAAATTGATTCTAAATACTTTTTTTTTTTTTTTAGATTTTGTAAAAGCTTAATTATTACTTTTCAATCTGTGTCGTAATCATATTGTCCACTTAACTAAATAACACATTAGTTGAAGTTGGAGGATGATAGTGCAGTATGTTTTTAATGGCTTACCACATGAACAAACTTCTATGTGATTTTTAAATTGTATTTCTTATGTAAAGAAAACATCACAATTGTGAATTTATTTTTTTTTTGACATTAGAATACTAACAGCAAAAAAAACATTAGTAAAATAGCTGTGTATACTAGCAGAATACACAGATATTGTTGATGGCTCTTTGGGCGTCTTTCAGCAATGGCTCCTACTTCTCCGACTTACCAGTAGGGCTTTTTCAGTTCAACTATTTGTGGTTTTAAGGTCATTTGTTTATTTCTAATCGGCCATTTCCTTCATGCCAAACAGGATGAGTCTACAATCCCTCAGTCAGAAGTAATGAGGCGCTCTTCCTCTGTTTCCTCAGTGCGCACTGTTGGCCTGTAAGGCCAGTACCATCAGTCAGTACCATCCTGACCTTTACTCCAGCACCATGTCAGAAGGGGAAAACGGTTGTGCTGATCAGATTGTCTGACTTTGTGTTAAAGCTGCAGTGAAGTGACATTGTTCCTGCACAACGCAGCCAAAGAGGAACCTGTTTCAGTGAAACCCAAAGGACGACGTAGAAAGAAGCTCTTGTTGTTTTATCTTGTTTCACTTTGTCCCAGCCGCCTGCATTTAACTTCCTGTCTCTGCTGGAGAAGAATATCCAGACATCTTCCACTTGTTTTGTCCCGTCCATCCATCCATTTTCTGTACACCCTTGTCCCTCAGTGGGGTCGGGAGGGTTGCTGGTGCCTATCTCCAGCTAACGTTCCGGGCAAGAGGCGGGGTACACCCTGGACAGGTCGCCAGTCTGTCGCTTGTTTTGTCCCCTGATCAGTTTTAGCTTTTTTTTTTGTTGTTGTTTTATTTTTCCAGTTGTGCGATAATGTTTCCATTCTTGGATGATGGGCTGAGCAGTGCTCCTTCAGATATCTGCTTTAACTCCTCTGCTCTTTTTTAGGCAACTCCAAAAGCAGGAGGTTGAGTATAGTACAGGGAATTCTGGGTAAATACAATCAAAACAAACACGTCAGCCTATCTTGTCAGTCTTTAGCCATTTGTGGTCTTTAGCCAAAGACAAAAGAGAAATCTGACAACAGCTAAAATTTGACATCACTCCTTTTTTTTTTTTTTTTTTTTTTACTTTTTGCAAGAAGG